TCGCTAATTTATTAAATACATCGAATGAAAACATAATTTAAACGTTGCTCACAAGACAGAGCTATTGTATGTATAATTTACCTTAGTTTATGAATACATTGGCAATCAGGAATAATTGATTGTCAGTGGTCAGAAAATTAAAACCAACATTACTGTCACTATAAGATTATTATATGTACATATATGTGTATATATGCGTTTCGAATGATTTTCTGATAGAATTGAATTGAAAAATGTGGAAAGAAATTCTTGTCAGTATTTAGGATTTAATGCAAGCGTTACAAATGTAATCGATTAATGTTTCCGGCTACAGAAATTCAATACAAATGGAGTAAAAAGGAATTTCTCTAAACTCAAAATAACGTGTTACTTGAATTACAATCAATTTTAATATCGAATTATTTTATTTTAGAAATTTAATGCAAACAAAAATATTTGTAGCGTTCTGAAATTAATACGGCCGATAAAGACAGAATAAAGTCATAAATATAGTTTATATGCATTGATAATGGTTTTTAGTATAAAAAATTCATTGTAAGAAGTGAAATGTTTTGTAAATGGTTTTATCATAGAAATGCATTGTAAATGATTTTATTATAGGTTGCTTTGTACCTGATGTACATAATAAATACAGATATGCACTGTAAAATATTATTTTTTATATATATATATATATATATATATATATATATATATATAATAAATAAACGACATTTATTGTTGAAATGCATTGTAAATAATTTATAAGAACAATGATTTTATAATCGAATTGTATTGTAAATGATTTTATAAAAGGAATGCATTATAAATGATTTAATTATAGGAATACTTTCTAAATTATTTTATTCTAGATATGTATAGTAAATGATTTTAATATATTTTGTTATACGTTATTTATATAAACACAAATATTTAAGTAAATGCACTGTTTATAATAAACACTATTAACAACATTTACCGTATTAGTATTAACAACATTATAAACAGAGAATTTACTTAAATATTTGTGTCTATATGAATAACGTATAACAATAAAATATATTAAAATAATTGTTAGACTTTGTCCATTTCGTAGTGTGTGACGTTAGATGATTTTTATTATAAAAATGAATTGTCAATGATTTATAATAGAAATGACTTTGTAAACTAATTTTATGATCGAAAATGTTTGTTAATGTTTTATTATAGAAACGCATTGAAATTGATTTTTATATGGAGATTATAAATTATTTCTTTACAGAATTTGTTTTGTAAATGATTTTATTACAGAAATCAATAAATGCTTTACTATAGAAGTGCATTGTAAAAGATTTTTATAATATAAATGAATGTAAATAATCTTGTATGGAAATACTTTGAAAATCTTGAAGAAAATTATTGCTAGTGATCAAGAATTAATATAATCATTATTGATAACCTATAATGTATAATCTTCGTTAACATAGAGAGAAAATGATACCTAGTAATACCCAGCTTTACTTTAAATCTAAAATACAGTATTTCTACAGTTAACGTCAATTTTTTAACCTAAAATCATTTACACACACTATACTATTTTGTTCCTAAGGCTCTAACAAGGACTCTTACGGCTTTTATTTTAGGCTTCGTCTGCTTCTCATAAGGGTGTGCGGATGGTGTAATGGATAGCGGTTCGAAATGAGAACTAAGTTCATTTCATTCACTAACATGCAAATATTGGGAAAAGTATGAATCGTTCCTTTCTCCTCTAGCTTTGGGTTAAATAGCAGGGTAGACTAAAATCTCTAGCCGTGCTTGGCAATCAGTCTAGAGGAAAGACAACTTTGATCTCAAAACCGTACGTGGACCCGACACTCTAATACATTTAGCAAGATTCCTATTAGGTTTCAATCAAGTTTGATTTTATTTTTTTTTTCATAATCATTTCACTCCATGGCGATAATGACGCTGGAAAGCAGTGGGGTGGGTATATCGATTGAAAATGAAAGAGAATGAAAAGATGGGGAGCATTGAAGAAAGGACAAAAAAAAAACAAAAAAAAAAAACAAACAAAAAAACAAAAGAAACGAGGTTCAAGACCAGAGAAGATGGCGATTGACGTTGCATTTAAATTTTAATTTTAAATAGGAAAGGAATGAAAAGAAACTACTAGAGTAGAAATGGCGGTTGCATCTAACTTCATCAAAAACAACTCAGCTAACAGGAGTTGTGAAATTATCCATATAATGCGATTATTTCATTTTTTTTGGCGTTTTTTCATGCGTAAAACATCCCGCAAAAAATTTCGAACAAAGTAATCACTTAGCCTATAGTAAAAGAGTAACATTTGAAATAACTCAGTTACATTTCTATATATTTTGTCTTTACTTCAAACTCTATTCTTTTTTATACTTTATATCACGTTTATAGCCGATCTAATCACCGGCCATTAAATGTAAACTACAAGAATTTGAAACAAAATTGCTGTATTTACTCCGGTGGTATGAACGCCAAAATACAAATATTTGCAATAATGAAAATTACTTCGTTTACATTATTTACATATCTCATTTTTGTTGTTATTATCAGAACGTTTTAGCCGTTGTGTCCTCGGATCATCATCAGATCCGAGTAACTTTCATTGAATTTCAAACTGGACCGTTTATTTAATTTACGGGAGTTGATTGTTCCCGTCCAACTGATCATATCTACGGATATATCGGAGGTTCACATATGGACAGGTTCTTCCAGACGTCTGCTTTCCCAGTGTTCTTTTCTCTCTAGTATATTGACTTCATTCGGCAAGGATTGATGACTAATCTTTTCTCTCCATACATGATCAACCATTACTGATTTCATTGCCTTACCTTTAACTGCAGTTATCGATGTTCCTACAACCTTACTTTTATGGGCGGCTATTTACACCTTTATATTCTTTGTCAAATCTGCAAGAGATAACTCACCATACCAGAAATTCAGGCTGAGAATACTTATTTTTCCAATTTCAAAAGTATTAACAATATTCATCTAAGCATAAGATTTCTAAATTTGGAAGAATAACCTTTCTTTTTACGGAAAACATCGTTAAAGCGATTATTATTTTTGAACAAGTGTAGAGGTTTATCCTTTGAGTGGGTTTTCGGTTCCTTCTCCGAAAGTCACTCATTCTCTTTCACTCCCAATATCCCCTTGCGTCTTAGTGGCATTATCGCCTTACTTGGGGTGAAGTGATTATAAAAATATAATTGCCAAATATATAAAAATGTATATAAAATAGTACTGAGAAATTCTTGGCTGAACGAATTTTCCAAAATCTTACCAAATAACCAAACATCAGAATTTATTTTGAATCCTTTCATGGTTGGATTGAGAACGTTTCAACAGTAAAATATATAAAATATAAGTAAAAATTGATATATATTAAATAATTGATATCTCGTAACAATAGCCCTATCGGTCGAGATTCGAATTGTCAGTAATAAAACATTTCTAAGGAATTTCTTAACTATTAAGAAGTTCTCGTGGCAATAACTTATGCCAATAAATATGAAATTTCCTTTTTTAATATGAAAATTTTACAATGTAAAACACACGCATACTCACATGCACACGCACACACACACACACACACGCACACACACACACACACTCATACAAGCATAGAAATACACACGCGCCAATAAATATGAAAATTCCATTATTTTAATAGGAATGTTTTACAAAATAAACACACACGTATGTACACACACACACACACACACACACACACACGCACGCACACACACACACGCGCGCGCGAATAAATACGAAAGGCTCTTTTTTAACAGGAATGTTTTACATAGTAAAACACACGCAAATACAAAGTCGTACATACGCACAGGATAAAGACACTCACACATATTGACATTTACAAATACTCACGCACACAAACGTATGCACGCAATCATACAGTAGTACAAATACACACATACAATCAAGTAGATGCAGAAGCAGATACACAATCATGTACTCAAAGATGCACACAATATCACACAAACGAACAAAGTGAACGACCTTAACTTTGAACATTTTGTTTAAACTGGAGACTCTGCTTAAAATCGAACATAAATCTACAAAAATACAATTCTGGGATAAAAAAAAAAACTCTTTCTTTTTAGTTTCTGACAAAGTTGCGTGTGAGTGTGACAGCTTTTTGCTGCTATCATCTGAGTAGGTAAAATAGGGGTAAATGGTTTACCCAAATACTTACATCAGCATTTTCTTCGCAATCAACTATCGTAGAATATATTTCATATTTTTTCAATATATATGGTAATGACATATAATGCAGGGAGAAATAGATTCATGCCTTTTCCAAAGGCAAAAACTGGAAGTAAAAATAAGCCTCCACTGCCGAAATTCGAACTTGCTTCCTCAGGTTCGTTATGACACTTCACAAATTTCTAATCGATTTGAAAACATACACAGAAGAATTTTAAATTAAATAAAAATCACAATACCAGCAAAAATCTGGAATAAGTAGATTATAATTTGAAAAAAAAAAGAAAAGAAAATAATTCCCTTTGATCAATTTAAATTAGTGCATGAAATAGTGTAAACCGATAGATACAAAGACATATAAAGAGAAGGGTAGGGAAAGCAAGCGGAGAGGGTTGCTAAATAGATGCATGCACCCAGAGAGACAAGGAGACAAAAATAGTAAAAAAAAAAGAAAGAAAGCAAGAAGAGTGGTCGATAGGTAGATAGATAGATAAATAGCGAGAGAGTGAAAAAAAGTGTGTGAGAGAGAAAGCTAGTAGCCTGGCATAAAGGTTGGTATAGATATACATAAACACAAAAAGAGAAACGGACAAAGCTCGAAGAGTTGTTATATATATATATATATATATATATATATATATATATATATATATATATATATATAAGAGAGAGAGAGAGGGATAAAGATGGAGAGAGGAAAGTAAGGTAGTGAGAAAGCTAGTAAAGTCACAGATAGGTTGACAGAGAGGAACAGAAACATAAAATTAGAGTGTGAGAGAAAGTTAGAAGGGTTGTCGATAGATAGATAGATAGATAGATAGATAGATAGATAGATAGATAGATAGATAGATAGAATGAAAGAGAGAGAGAAAGCTAGTAGAGAGGCAGATAGATTGATAGAGACAGAGACACAAAGTAAAGGGAGAGGAAGTTAGAGTGGTTTGATAGAAAGAAAGAAGTGATAGCGAAAGAAAGCTAGTAGAGTGTGAGATATGTTGATAGAGAGAGACAACACACAAAAGGAGAGAGAAAGCTAGAAGAGTGGTCGATAGGTACAGAGAGGGAGAGAGAGAGGCAAAAAATGAGAAAGAAAGCTAGTAGAATAGCAAGCTGATAGCAAGAAACAGAGACGCAAAAGGAGACAGATAGAGAGAGAGAGAGAGAGAGAGAGAGAGAGAGTGAGGGAGAGGAGAAAGAAACCTAAGAGAGTGATGTTATTAATGTCAAATCTTTTGATATCTTTCTTTCAAAATTCGCATAGCACGAAGTTTCATTAATAGAATTATTACTCTGATTCTTATATTTGAAGTGGTTTTCCTGTCCTACGGGAAGATGCTGTCTCATTCTGTTTACAGTAAAAAAAGAAGAAAAAAAGAAATGAATAATAAATTTCATTTCAATTATATTTGCTTAATCAAAGAAGAGGTTTCGAAACTTCACATGGATATAATCAATATGATGATGCAATTTCTCTTTTTAGACGTCAACCTCTCATATTAACTTTGAAGCTCGGAATTTTGTTATTCATAATTTTGAAACGAAATTCTACCTTTTAACAAGTATGTTCTTGCCTGCCAAAACATTTAGAACAGTCACTATTGATTCTTGTTTAATGTAAATTTGCACACAGACACAAACACGCGCTCACACACACAAACACACACACACGCGCGCGCACACACACGCACGCGCGCGCACACACACGCACGCGCGCGCACACACACACACATATATATATATATTATACTAGTAACTATACTCGGTTGGTGAAGATCCATTTAGGTGAAACCTTGGTAGGTAGTTCCTGGCTTTATAGGAATAATAATAATAATAATAATAATAATAATAATAATAATAATGGGCTCTCCCGTCGGTTTCGACGTATGAGGATCTGACAGCTTATTGATTCAGTTATGAAAGTTTATGCGAAGATAAGAACGAATCAAGGTAAACTGCCAGAAAACCCATACAAGTGAATTGATTAAAGTGGTGAAGGCTTGTGCAGAACCATATATATATATATATATATATATATATATATTAAGACATGTTTTGTTGCATAGTTTAGACATGTTCTGTCTACTTATTTTCTATAAGATCCTTTCATACTCGCACATAATCTTTTTGGTGTCATTATTGAGGAACGAGAGAAAATCGCTGTATTGCTCGCCACCGCTAGTGAAAGGCACACTCGAATACGAGCGGACAACCATATTTCCTCACTTCCACCAAACGGCAAAATGTAAGAACGCTGGAAAAAATTTTCCTTGTTTGTCATATTTACGGAAAGATGTTTTAAAATTAAGGTTGCTTCCCATATATATATATATATATATATATATATATATATATATATATATATATATATATATATATATATATATTTATTGGTGTATACGAAATGAATTCCAATAACCAACAATTACTATTCTTAAAAGAGTGCTCAATACAGAGTAGAGCAGATATAAGTATTTATTTAAAAAATTATAACATAAATATGTTATAAAATCACTACAAAAATAACCATTTTGTTTCAACACCTCCGGAACTTTTAAAACCATTTATTTTACATTCAACATCATCACTTGATAAGACTCAGGTGTTGAAACAAAATGGCTATTTTGTAGTGATTTTATAACATATTTATTATATAAATTGTTAAAAATATATATATATATATATATATATATATATATATATATATATATAATCCATCAATGTCGGTGTGACCAATAGGCAACTTACCAAAAAGACCTAGAACCTTAGACAAGAAAAAAATCCTGAATAAGGAAAGAAAAATGAAAAAAATGACCAAAAGAGAAAAAAAAAAAACTACGCTGTAAATTAAAGTGCTCAACGCCTAGACAATTTAGACAGAGCAAAAAACGCGCCATAACGTCAGCACTCTCTCTATATACATTATAATACATTTTTTCAAACAACTAAAATCTTTAAATTGGAGAGAAATGATTCTAGATTCATTCAACCATTCACAGAAAAAATATTCAGTTTCCTTTTGTTTATTGGTGAATTCCATGAACGACTAGTCAGATTATTTGCGATTGTTGAAATCTTATTTGTCATAACCTAACAACCCTGAAATTAGGTCTCCACTGGCGCTCTACGACATTGGCCATCAGCGAATGTTAACTTCATTTATCAAAATATATTTTTATGAAAAGGTAACTATTGAGGAAAATATCTCTAATATTAAGGGAAATTACGATGAAATTCAATTTATCACAAACAGCTACGAGCTACAAAGTCAGAAGATAGCGTAACAAACATCAAATCTGCCATAACGTAATTTTGTTTTTACTCTGAATCTGTGGAAATTCCACGGCTATCGGCAACTCGTATTTTCCATTATTACATAAGTATGATCTTTTTTTTTTTTACAGATTTTGGGTAGCTTCTTTTCTTCATCCGTTCTTCCCTTTATGGCCTGTTCATATTTATACCAAATGGTCATTATCTAATGATCATAGTTAAAAATTAATGATAATATTAAAATTAACCATTTCCTTGCAGGAAATATTCAGCCTTCACTGACCGAACAGTTAACGTTGTGATCGGTTGAAATTTATGAAATCTTTTTATTAAAATAGTTTTTTTTTAGGAAATTTAGACTTCTCGTGTCTACTGTTATAGCTCTTTCTAATATTGATGGAGATTTCTTAAACTCCTATTTTTAGTCGTGTGAAAAGTTAACATTCTAGTTACATATGCTATCTATGTTTGCTCTTGCGACTGTTGAAAGTGTTCAAAGGGTGACATTTTCTTTGATGTAAAGTTTTCGTTCTTAAGACATATAGGATTAAACATTGATCTGAGTAAACGTTTGGTAATTTAGATGTGTATTTAATCTTCATGTATATTTAAATGGGACCTAATTGAGCTATGGTCAGTGAGATGGAACATGATTTAAACATTACGCAGAAACCTACCAAATTCCATCCGCAATATACTCGAAGACAATACAAGTTTAATGGGCTTATCCACGTGTAAAAAATGGCTACGAATAATGGAAACATTGATAATAAAAAGAAAAACCAACACTCAATAACATCAACGATGAACACGGCCACAATGGACTGATCGTGTTTGGAAAAGAAAAACATTCCTATAACTCTAGATACATACATTTAAAAAATCCATACATTCAGTTAAAAGTAAAAATGAACTCATCCTTTATAATGTCCAAAAGATTAGCGGAAGGTGCTCGCGTAAACAGAAAAATCAGACAATTTCTACATATTTAATATCCGGAAAAGATAAAAATATAAGAAAACAAGAAAAATGAACTAAAAATTTATCCACAATATCTTGTCAGTTGTTTTTTTAACGAAACTTGCATATATATATATATATATATATATATATATATATATATATATATATATATATACGTGTGTGTGGGTGTTCGCGCACACGCGTGTGTGTGATACAAAGATGAAAAGCTTTTTATCCACTTTATTAAAATTTTTTCATATAGACAAAAAAAATTTAATCACTACGAAGATGCAACTTCGTTTCGGTGCATTTAGTTGCACATCGACTGGTGAGAACCAAAATGGTTATGAACAATTTTATTTGTAAGCAGGCCACAAACTGAACATCAAACAAAATTCTTTGTAACCATTTTGGTTCTCACCAGTTGAGGTGCAAGTAAATGCGCCGAAACGAAGTTGCATCTTTGTAGTGAGTAAATTGCTTTTGCCTATATGAAAAATTATAATGAATAATTATTGCTCTGCTATCGGTATTGAGCCCTCTTTTGAATTAATGCTGTGAATGTTAGAATTTATATATTATTTCGTTCTCATTACATTCGTACATATATATATATATATATATATATATATATATATATATATATATATATATATCTCATCAAATGACAATTGGAAAAAATCTTACATTTTGCCGACGCGTTTCGTCTTCCGACTTTTTCAAGGCAAAAATGAAATCGAAATGTTTTTGTTGTTATAGTTGCATTAAAAATCCAAATTTAAAAAGATAGACTCTTGTGCCTAAGCCTTTTTTTTTTTTGGTTAATGTAAATTACCTTTATAGTAAGGGAATATTATTATTATTTTTTCGTCGGAAGACGAAACGCGTCGGTAAAATGTAAGATTTTTTTCCAATTGTCATTTTATGCCAATCTTTCTTGTCCACAGAATTCATCTGGGAATTTAAGCATATATATATATATATATATATATATATATATATATATATATATATATATATATATATCAGTTTTTCTCTTCTAGACTTATGCTTATTTTCTCTCGCGTTTTTCCCTACCTTTTCAATTATCACCTCACTTTTTCTTTTTCTACTTCGTCCACTTTTAATACTCTGTTGTTTTCTTGGTGTCGAGGATTAACTGATTGCCGCGTAGAAGGAACTTAAGAAGATAAAATCTAACGGCTGTATCTAAAAACAAATAGAAAAATAGTCAAGATAGTGTAGCGCAGGCAGCGAGCATCATTCGACAATTAATCTTTAAATATCTCCATTACACATCTTTAACTAACCTGTCAATTATATCCCAGGTGGGGTCGCGCAAATCTGCAGCCCTATTGACTTGCAACAGAAAATAGCTAAAATGATTCATTAATAAAAGCAACAAAAATGAATGTTGTCAGTTGGGTAAGTCTCACGAGACAGGGAAAATGTCATACTGTAAAGATCTGGAATAAATACGAAAAAATCAAGGCAAACCTGGAACAGGTCTCTTGAAACTCCCGCTTAATTTGGGTAAGCTTTTTATGAAGATTTACTTAAACGAATTAAATGAAATTATGTGAGATATATTTTTTTAAAATTTATGAAGTTGTTTCGTTCCATTATTCATTTTCTTTGGATAAAAAATACAACTGATTATGTCGGCATCGCTATTCGTCTATCAGCGTTGTTTCTTCTTAGTTGAGAAACACAACAATGGAAACAAATGTGAAAATTAAAAAAAAATGATCCAGTAAAAGAAGAAAACTATAATCCAATGAAAGAAAGGAGAAAAACAAACGAGAAAGGAAAGAAAAATAAAAATAGAATGGATGAAGAGAAAGGAAAAATGAAAACTGGAAAAGCAGAGAATATCAGAGAAAAAATAAAAAGAAAGAAAAAAGAGTTGAATAGAAAAAGGAAAGAAGTTGAAAATGAAAAAAGAATTTAGATATTTAAGGGTAAAAGAGAGAAAAGAAAAAGAGAGAGGCGCGAAGTGGAAACTCGAAAAATATGAGAAGGAAAAGACGATAAAATGAAGGAGGAAACAGTAATTAAAAAAATCACAGACGGTACAAATGTTGACATAGGCTAAAAGCAGGAAAAGATACAAAATGAATACAACGAACAAAATTAAGGAGGAACGAAGCAGAAAGAAAGGAAAGGAAAGAAGAAAACAAAATAAAATAGCAATAAACAAAAAAGTAAAAGAAAGGAAAAGGCGACAACTAATAAAAACAAGAAAGAAAAAGATCAAAAGCAGAAAGAAAGGAAAATAAGAAGTAAGAAAAAAACGAAAAGAAGACAACAAAAAACAAGAAAGAAAATGAACAAAAGCAGAAAGAAATTAAATAAGTGGGAAGAAAGAAAGAGAAAGAATACAAAAAATAAATTGGAAATAGACCAAAAGAAGAAAAAAAGAAAGGAAAAATGAAAGAAGATAAATAAAAAAAAAAACAACAAAGAAAGGAAATAAGTGGGAAAGAAAAAGAAGGAAGAAGAAAAGAAGGCAAATAAAAGAAAAAGAAAAAGACCAAAAGTAGAAATAAGGGAAAATAAGAAGGAAAGAAAAAAGGACAAGAAGACATAAAAGCATAAACAAGAGAGAAAAAGAACAAAAACAGAAGGGAAAGTTAAGAAGAAAAGAAAAAGAAAGGAAAAAAGACAATAAATAAAAATAAGAAAAGAAAGAAAAAGAAAAGGACAAAACTATTAACAAAAAGCGCTAAGAAATAGTTTATAAAATCTCAAGGAAAATATGAAATCCAATTTAATATTATTTAAGTTTTTTGTGAACATCAAATAGACGAACCCTTCCCGCTAATCGAAGGTCTGTCTGACGCCATTATTCAATGGATTCTCTATGTAGGAGAAAACTATCAATGTGATGAATTTCTTAAATGTAACTCTGATTAGGTTGTCAATTATATCTGAACAAATGGACACTGCCAGACGAAGAGCGATCTCCTCAAAGCTAACGATTTAATCAGCCTTTCACACTACCTTCTGTTTAAGATTACGAGATAAATAATTAACCATGAATATTCATTAGTGTATCGCATGTCATCCACTTTAGAACAGTTCACATGACGAAATGAGATATTAATATTCAAGTGAATCTCAAAATATCCCAGGAGTGGTGTAATAATAATAATAATATATATATATATATATATATATATATATATATATATATATATATATATATATGTGTGTGTGTGTGTGTGTGTGTGTGTGTGTGTGTGTATTTAGGCAGAAATCCTTCTTTCATTCACATTTCATTGAATACAACAGACAAGGTGCTTTGATTTAGTTTTTTTATATTTCTCATGCGATCTAATAATGTTTTTCTTTTCAGATGATAAATTATATAATTTTTAATTAATAATATAGTTTTTTATATAATTTATCACCTGAAAAAAAAAAATATTAGCATGAGAAATTGTATAAAAACTAAATCAAAGCACCTTGTCTGTCGTATTCAATATATATATATATATATATATATATATATATATATATATATATATATATATATATATATATATATATAGCCTGAAAAAATATTGACATCTTACACACAAATCATACATATCGACCTAATTTTTTACACACGCACACACACAAACACAAAATAAATATAATTCCTACACATGAATATCTAATATGTTTACACACACACACACATATATATTCGTATATACATGAATTTCTCACATAACCCATACATACACAAATTATCTATCGCACATATATGCAATATACTTCCATTATATATATATATATATATATATATATATATATATATATCTTAATAATGTCTTCATCGTTATTCATACCTACGTAGTACTCAGTGTAAAATGAACGTGTTATTTTTTACGGTATTTCGTCTCTTAAGTGTTTTATTCTTATTTCCACTCGGAACATTATGGCATTATTCCATTGAATGTATCATTTTTCACCAAGAATGTAAGAGGTCATGTTCACGTGGTATAGATTCGTGCCAAGCATTTTTACGAGAGGTGCTCGAAAATTCTCCTGGAATCTTATTGATTTTTAATGGCAATAAATGATCTTAAATTTGAAAGCAACAAATCAACATATGCCAACGTTTGTGTCAATAAATACGTATGTTTCTTGAAATCAATCCACAAACGAAAATAGACTGAATGATCATAATACAGAAAAGATCAATGGAAAACAATTTCATTTTGATAGAAAGAAATTAATCTTTAATGTGTGATTCATTTCAGGGACAAAATAACTACGTCCCTAATGTTTTTACCTTGTGGCATTTGCTCCATAATTTTACTTAGGGTACCCTGAAACATATAAAGCAAATAATGGGCAAAAATGGCATCAAATTCGGATGTGAACCTTCACCTTGCAGAAGAGATAAGAAAATGCTGAACTGCTATATAATGTCTAATCTACATGGAGGTGAATGCTGGACAATTTGTTACAGATGAAGAAGGAACTTGAAACGAAATAGATGTGGTTCTACCGAGAGAAATCTTAGAATACAATGGAGAGCAAGGATGCTTCTAATTGCAATCAAAAAGAGACAGGTGAACTTTCAGGGACACATCAAGAGTTAAAGGGGCGTTAGAGAATTTAAGCTAAATAGCATAATGAGCGCAAGAGTGGCAATGGAAACAGAGAATAACCTATTCATTTTCAGGGAACGGAAAATAAACCACGTGATAAGAGGGATTGTAAATGGTCAAAAGTTACTTAAGGCATCAAAAGACAGGAAGTTCTAGAGAGCTATGATTCCAAACATTTGGAAAGGACATGGCATATGAAAACAGAATAATCTCTACATACAGTGAAATTTTATTTCCCATAGTTGCATCTAAAAACAACAAAAATATATAGTTTCATCTAAAATGTGCATATATATATATAATAAAAAGGTCTAAACACGAATATTAGTGTTTAAGCCTTTTTATCCTTACTCTGTCCTGGAAATTGAGTTCTACCTGGATTCTATCCTCTTGGAATTATTTTTTATACAAATATATGTGTATGTATGTATATATATTTATACATTTTAGATATATGATTGCATATTTATGTGTATATTTACCACTAATATTATAAAATCTTTCTCTCTCTCTCTCTCTCTCTCTCTCTCTCTCTATATATATATATATATATATATATACAAACGTAAGAAGATACGAGATATTCTGGTTAATCATAAAGATAATCTATCTATCTATCTATCTATCTATCTATCTATCTATCTATCTATCTATCTATCTATGACACTCTTCAAATCTATCGATCTATGTCATTCTGTGGTCCTATACTTCAATAGGAACCCTGTAATTCAGTGGGAACTTTAGACGGCTAACATACATGTCCGAGTGAACCCTGGACTTTCACTTATCACGATAAACGGGTGTTCTCACAGGGAAGTCCCGTGCTTTGAACGCCTATTGAAACTTAAACTCAACATAGACCTCAAGTAGAACTCATACATACGATCCATTGCTAAAGATATTGGAAAAACGACCAGTTACCAGCACAGTTCCAGTAAGAAATCTGAACCCTTCTGTTATTCTTTACTTTTACAAGAGCCAGGTTAGACCAAAACGGTGCACTGCTGCCATATCTGGAGAGGAGCTGTTCACTCTCCATTTCTCAGTCTCGATATAGCCCAAAAGCGCATCCGCGTCCTTGTGGGTGATGAATGATTTTCTATCCTTCAACCCCTTTCCCATTGAGGAAACGTCGTAAGCCTCTCGCTGATGTATCGCTATTTCCATGGAAATTGTTCAGAAGAACTACATTCTTTTGTACCTCCAGTTTTAACCTTCACGTCTAAGACCCACCATGCCACGCATATTGTAGCGAACCACTAGCTGTCGGACAGCGGGCGTGTTCCTGTCGACAATGTTACCACTCTGTGAACCGCTAGTGGTCCACCGGTGACACTCCAGTGGCCTGTCGGTGGCTGCCACCAGAGGGCCGCTCACATTGCCAGCGGGCCACTGGCTGCTTGCGTGTACGATTATCGACGCGAAAAGTGGAATCAAATAACCAAGCTCAATTTTCGGTGTAATCTGACTCCTTCATGCCATGCAAAAAGAAATGCATGAATAGATCTCCTCTCCTATCTATGGATTAAATAGTAGAATAGACTAGATGCCTGAGTGGCAAGGATAACTTGGAATCCAAATACCTGCAGAATATAACGAGAAAGCATGCCAAAGTAATCATTGCAATTCCCAGAAAATAAGAGAATGGAGGCGGTGGAAAGCAATGATCGCCTACGTCCTAAAGGAAGATAGTATTAAAGAAATTCTTGTAACGCACAAGTTAAAAAACAGACCCACTTATTTGATTACTGTCAACAGTCAACTTTCAGAGGTGGAATATGTATTTTCTAATTCAGTACGTGTCTTTGTAGTGCATTTTAGTTGATTGTTGAGTTGCCAATAAGCTGCGGAACAGTACACACAAGAAAAAAATATCAACAAGATTCCATCTATTCCAATCAAAGAAAGAAGGAATAATAGACAAAAAAAAGTGACAACTACATTCCTTAAACATTTGATTAAGATTATTCTTAACGTCTGTCTTACTTTCTTTCATTCTTTCTTTCTATCTATCTTTCTTTCTATCTATAACTTCTATCTGTCACCTTCTCTCTTTTATTACTGTCTTTATCTCTTTCGCTCTCACTCTTTGACGCCCGCTGATTCATGATGCCAGATTTACTGAAAAATGTCATCATGCCAGGCACCAATGAAATGCTTATTTTATCTGAAGGAAGAAGCTACATGGAAGGCATTCCTACTTCGGAATCGCTCCGATCTAATCTGCCCATCCATACTCGTCTTGTTAGGATAGCCGCAAACTAGCTTAACTGGTTGGTGTGTGACTCGAAAGAAACTATTTAAAATAGCATTTTCTTTTACGACTCTGCTTGCTTGAAGCGAAGAAGGTCTTTCATATCGGTCATAGCTTAAGGTCTTCCAACTTTAAAAGCTTAACTCAATATACAGTTTGTAAATATCTTGTTCTCTAAATATATATATATATATATATATATATATATATATATATATATATATATATATATATATCGCTAACGGGGTTTTGAGCTGACAACAAAGCTGGTCTCGTGAGACTGGGCAGTTTAATTTCCAATTGTTTACTGGCAAGATAATTATAGCCTGATTGCTATATTCATTACGTGCAGTTATCGTTGTTTCAAATGATCCTATGAGAACATGACAGTATGTTTAAATTAATGTGCGATATCAAGAGTTTTGTTATGTTGCGAAAATCCTCATCTCTCAAAACTTCGTCAAAGTATTTTTCTCGTGGGAAATTCCAGTTTCGATTCGATATCATAACGAAATTGATCTTTGTCCTACTATTTGAATAGATATATTTATACACATCTACCCTATGTACTATTATCTACATTTCAGTTAAATGGGACCACTTCTTACCTGTTAGATTTAGAAACGTACAGATGGAATTGCCAAAAGTCAAGGACGAAAGCCTTGTTTGATTATTATTAATTTTTCTGTTATAAATATAACATATATATATAACTTAGGGTGTTCGGTAGGTAATTACATTTCATCAGAAAGCTTATAAAAATAGTCAACTGATGTAAAATGAATGTAATCCTTGTCCCAATTTAATAATAACTGGCAATGGCTCATTTAATCCTGGGTAAGACGATAAACTATATCCAACAGCAAGGCCTCTGATCAGGAGGTTTTGAGGGGCGTGGAACTTAATTGTTGATGTTCTCAGGTCCACTCTGACTCGGGTGGTAGCATCTGTTAGGGTCCCAGTTAGGGTTAAATAGTTAAACCTCAACCTCGTGTCAAAACAGTATGAAAGTGTAAAAATAGGTTTTTATACCAAAAATACTTTGTAAAACATTTTTTACCAGCAATACATTTTTCAAAATTATTACCAGCATTACATAATTTTTTGGAAAAAAAAAAAAAAAAAAAAAATTACCAGCAAAGGAAAATTCTTACCATAAACAGATTTTTGAAGGAAAAAATATTACCAGCAATACATTTAAAAAAAAAAAAAAAAAAAATGTTACCAGCGAAGGAAAATTATTACCAGAAATAGATTTTTGGAAAATTTTTTAAAAAACAATGAAAATTTTGTCGACATTAAATAACCCATTGAGGTTGATATGCTGTAAAACAAACCAAACCAAACCTTATGTAATACATTCAAAACATATTACTACAATTATATGTGTATATAAACACAGATGGCGACGTATCAGGCGTTTTGGAAAGGCAAAGAGAGAAGGTTATGCGGTTAGAAATGACTTTCTTTAACCGATGGTCTTCGTGTCCTAATCAATAAAGTAGCTGTTTCAGTCAGAGTATGTGTGTTATATCCGTTTCAGTCGTAGAATGACGGTGTGAAAGTCGAGATAAAAAGCAACAGAATTATGACGAAACAAATACTGGTCCTCTTTCGCCAAGAAAAAAAAAGAAAAAAACCGTCTAATATAATCAACTAATATTAATGCAAAAGGAAAAATCGGTTTCGATTATGGTGAAAATTTGATATAATTTATGTCAAATATTATTACGTAAACAGAATCTGTTTCAATAATGGCGGTGTTTTTTTTATATACATGATGATAAATCTAATTACACAAGTCAATGTTTCACAATCAGCCAGTTATGTTCCATGTGTGATACACGCTTAGGCGATGTTGTATCTTTCAATACATGACTGACGAGGCAGATTTTTTTTTCCAGCAGTAGGTTGCCATTTCTTTCTGCGGTAAATAAATATTTCATACAAATATAGAACCCGCTCTCATGGCTAGAAGAAGAGGATTCATATCTTTCCCAAGGGTATTAGCACGTAAGTGAATGTAATCGATTTGACTGGAATTCGAACTCGGCTCTTTGATTCCTCAGTACGAACCGTTATCCTCCTCTATCACCTATATCAATAACATTGATATAATTCAAATGCTGTTAATAAAATTTTCAGAATAT